GAGAGCTTCTCCAGAATGGCACTTGGCTCAAGAACGCGAGACCGTCAGTCACGAGGGTGCGCGAATACATATGTATGCTAACCGCGGTTAATAATTGATAATAATTAACGAGCGCTCTTAACGAACGGGAGGGAGATTGCCGAAGGAATTTCTGTGCGGAAGAGGCGCGAGATACAAGGAATATATTTGCGCGAGAGAGATACGAGAATTTGATAAAGATTCAACGAGACGTGTACGAGCTGCACGCGATAATTTTAAGCGATATTTCCACGGTAACGGAAGCAGTCGAATTGCAAACAGCGTTCTTGAGCGCGTCTACGACAGCGCGCGCTTCAGCGAAATAAGCGGAACAAACAGGTCGACGTTTCACGGATGATTCCCTTGAGCGGATGGCGATTTCTGCCTCGTGGGGGAGAAGGGGGTGTTAAAATATTAATCGCGCACTTGAACGGCACTCGCGAGCGGTACTCAACTGCCGCCACGGTGGCGGCTGCTGCAAAAATGCGAAGTTCGAGCGGCGAACCAAAGAAATCACTCTCGCCCGTTCTCCACCGCTCGACGAAGTCTCTTTCTCGTTGAAAACTTTTGGTCGGAAGTTTTTTCCCACCCCCTCGGCTCGCCAGACCTTCTCAGCACTTTGCACGTAGCGCGTCGATATGTGTATGTGTACTTGTATATATATATATATACACACATATATAAAGAGGAGAAAGGAGAGGAGAGGGCAAACGGGCCTTTTTATCTGTTTTCCATCGGGCAAAACGAGTTGCCTTTTGTACGACGGTCGATAAAGGGAGGAAATGATGATCCCCCAGGATGAGCCGCGCCTGGGGAACTTTCAGGCGACGTTGAAGACTGGTCGTTTTAACGACGTCGTGGATTTGCGGTTGCAACGGCGACGGTGCAGGCGGTGGTGGTGGCGGTGGTGGCGGCGGCGGCAAGCCGGGGGGTCGGGCGAAAGGGTGGTATGGCCGTTTTACCACGCTCGTATAACGAATTATAAGGCGGAGGTCGCGATCGAACGACCACGGGAATCTGCCCGACACCGGAATAATCTTACGGCCATATAACGCCGGTTTCCCGAAGCCGTGATACCGTCATTTCGGAAAATCGCTTGTGCGGCATCGCGTATCGTCGCACGGCTGCAGCATTATCCTTAACTCGCTATGCACGTGGAAGGAAATGAGGCGAGGTACCAAGTGCCGCCGTCACTTCCACGTGCGAGTACGAGCGTCGCGGTGAGTGCCAGAGGGTGACGAGTGTGTTGATCGTTAATTAATTGACAGCCGTGCAAACATGCTCCACGATCCTCGTCATCCGTCGCACCAGTTCAACATTTCCTCACACCACGGCAAATATTAATACGCGCCATCGTTTTTGCTCTGTTTCTTCAAAGCACTTGATAAAAAATAGTTGGGATATACTTTGGATTGAATTTACGTTTCGTTGGATACGCCCCGCTAACGGATTCCGATAGCGGCTACTTGCCCGACTTAATTTTAATTGCGAGCGCGGCTATTGTTAGAGGTCATTTGGCGTAATTAAACGTAATTAAAGTACGCTGGATACGTCCTGGATGGCTTGGCTGCGTCGACGCGTCGAGAAAGAGAGAGAAAGAGATTTTTATCCCCCAGCTAACAACTTTCTCTCTCTTTTTCTCTCTCGTCCTCGGTGGAAAGTCGAAGATTTTAAGCTCGATGGGGTGTAAATAAAGTTCGATAGCAGATGAGCAATGAAATTGTAGACGATGAGTGCGCAAATACATAAGGCACACATACGTACAATATCATCTGCGCGATATACGCTAGGTGCGCAAACACACCGTCTCCTCGTTTCTTCGACGGGATTCAATATTTGTCCCTCCCGATGAAAGTGTATTATCGCGTATCAATCAAGAAGAACAAATGTTTGCCGAGAGGCGGAAGCTTCGACTTCGACTGGTCGGCGAGGCGACGACGAGGACGATGACAAGGACAGCGACGAGAACGGCGACGACACTTCGTTCCGGGAATCACAACCGGCGGAGACGGCGACGACGACAACGGGGAATTAATTATCCGGCGATTAAATATCCGCCGGATCGAAAGTTTGATCCGCGACTATGACCGTGTGATATGAAAACACGCTGTCCACTTCTCCTCTCTACGTCGCCGCGCGGTCGATTAATCACTGCACGCAGTTCATGTTACATCTCGCGCAACGTGTCGTTTAAATTGCATCGTGTTGCACTGGTGTAAAATGCAAGCGTTACGTGAGTCGAATTTTCTCGTCACACTTTCCCTCTCTCTCTCTCTCTCTCTCTCTCTCTCTGTACAGGATGTTACGGGAATACTTGAATAAGCTGCTGGAGCGTATTTCGCGATCAGTTCGCGAGTCGAAGTTTCCCTCCGACGGAAATTCCGTTGGACGTTGTTCCTGTTTTTCGCGACTCCCGGATTCTCGCGACTGGATACAGTGAAACGATTAAGTTTCGACTGGGAATCACGTTGAAGTACAGTTTAGTGCGGATTTAATTAGAGGAATAAGATTTGGCCGGAGTTGCATCCACTTCTGGAATTGATTAGGCCTGTGTCTTTCACTTTCAACTTCTCTCTCTCTCTCTCTTTCTCCTTCCTCCCTTCTCTCTAGGGTAATGGAATGGTACGCGATATTTGTGCTACGTACGATTTCGCTCGAAGAACGTGTCCCGCAAAAATTCACGCGAAAGCTTTAGAAACGCGCTGTAGTACATGCGAAACTCGTGTGTCGGAATTGTCAGCGCCATCCTTCGCCTATTTCTACGCCGACTTCAATTTTGAATTTTGCGAGGATAGACGGAGTGGCAAATCGGATTTCCCGAATTGTCGGGATCTCCGCTGCTCCTGGGGAAGCATCATCGGAAATTCTGGTTCAGAACGGTTGGGTGGGTACACGTGGTCGATAAATAGTCAGACGAGAACGTGCGAGTGTCGTTGAAAGATTCGCGAAAGGTGATGCGATAGACTTGTCTGCCGTTGTTGCAGTCGCTTCGCGACAACGCGCACTTTTGTGTTCTCTCCCATTCTCTTTCTCTCGCGGTGATCCGGTCGAGGGACACGTTTCAATTACGCCGATAAAAAGTCCGTGGAGACTCACCTCGACGAAAAATCGTCGCGTCGCGTCGTCGTCGAAAAAATATCGGCAGTTGATCGAACATTCGCGTGCCGTAAGACAACGTTTCGGCCCGAAACGGTCCGGTAATAGTACGTCCGTATCTACTGCGACGGAATCTGTCGATTCCGCGGAAATAACGCGACGCTTTATAATTACAATGTCGGACGCTCCCTCGAGTCGTCCGTCTCTCTTGTCCGTGCAGGCTCGGTAATATCTTCCATTTTAATTCGTATACTCGTTGCCGTTATCGTTGCTCGCGTGCCCAAAAAGCAGATCGAGTTTTGCATCGAGCCGATCACTTTAGGCGGTAACTAGCTGCCGGCAAATTGGCGCAACTCAGCCCCATTCGGACGTTATTGCAGCGAGGTTGAGCGTGTGTCAACCGAGGGCTCTGGAAAGTTTCCTCAAACAGTTCCCCCGTGAGGGAGCAAATATTGGGACACGTCTTTTCGTACGCAATGCGACGATATCGTTGCTGCACTAGTCCCGCACTTTTATCAGTGTTTACGAAGTTTAATTACTAACCTGTTCTCGCAGCGCGCAGATATACCGGGCAAACTTAAATTAGCATGCATACGAGGGCTTTGACACCGAGGCACAGTAGAATTAATATTCACAGCAAGGCCAGTGAAATCCGAATCAGGGCGCAATCACGGCGGCTGAATAGCGGCGCGAGATATAGTGTTAATTATGTGCCAAATAAATTAGCAACTTGTTGATCGTCATTAATACTCGATAAACTTGGTCAAACATCCGACGACCCTCTTGCGAGTCCCCCGGATACTTATAAGCCTCAAATAATGGCGCATGTAACACTGCTTGTCCTTCGTAGATCACGTGCAGATTTAATGCCAATAACCCTAATCGACATTGTATACGTCGCGAATGCGAATCACGTTTTAATGTACAACGCGCGCGCATATGTATATGTGTGTGCATGAGTTGTAACTCGCGGCGCGTTGTTGTTACAGTCGATGCGACTGTGGGTGGAAAGCCAAAGTTCGAAACGTCGCGAAGCGACGAGAAACGACGGGGAAGTCACGACGGAACGAGAGACGCGCGAATGTTATTTGGACGGGACGCTATTTTGATAGAATATGCGAACGTTATTTGGACGGGAACGTGCAACGTATGTTCTAATATTGAAATTTCGCAGTTCCAAGATAATTGCACGCGCGGCGACTTCTCTACTCAACAATATAGACCAATGGTGAAAAATGTAACAGTGTAGTGTCGAAACGTTAAATATGACCGCTTCTTCCTCTGAGATTTCCTATTTTATTAAATGAATTTTTATATTGGTTTTTATAACAAAATTGGTGCGCGCGGGAAACTCGGTGCTTACCAACGGCAACGTCGGTTTACAGTCGCGAAATAATTCAGCTGCGATATATAATGCAGTCGGACCGGAATTGCAGTTTAAGCGAAACAATGGCAAAAATACAAGATACGAGTCGCGCGCTTATTACTTTCTGCCTACTTATGCTAGCTATTCTCTACTCTCTCCCTCTTCTCTCTACTCTCTCTGTCCTGTTCGCGAAATCGCGCTCATATGAGGGCACCGCTTTGTACCCCGTTCGTATTATCTCCGCGAAGTATTTCAGAGGTCTATCTCAGCGAAGGAAATTCATATTCCTTTAATAATCTATTATATTTGTTAATAGCGCGCGCGCAATCGTCACAAAGTAGGCTGATGACAATGAAGAATTATAGCAAAGTTATAGCAAGTCAGCGCTAATTATATGGGACGATGTTAGCGTTAACTGGCCCCTTATTAATAGGCGACTCATTAATCATTTGCCTGTATGTTTATAAAATTTATTTACCGGCGGGATTATACATAGGAGCGCGATGTTATATGGCATGGATGCGATACCAGAATAATATTTATTAATAGAATATATATCAAACATACAAGTATAATTCACTCGCGTTCAACGCCATCGTGGTCAAAGTGACGTCGATAATTCCGCGCTCACGAAAAGCGCAGATTTTCACACATGATCTATCGCGCACGAGACGTGTGCGATATAATTTAAATATCACCTCTTTATATATATGTGTGTGTGTGTGTGTGTGTGTGTGTGTGCGTGCGTGCGGCCGCGCCACGCCCCTCCATAGCACCGTCGTTAACAATAATATCGAATGAACGAATGTGATCGGTGTTATACGCTCGGAGATGACATCCATTATATGTCCTCGTATTCTGTTACTACACTTTGTACATCCAGCCCCGTCGTGGTCGGCTCGCTTATATCACATCTCGCTTACGAAACTCCGGCGTATTGTTGCACTATCCTGTTCCACTCCTTCGGGAAGGATCGCTGAATGTGAGAAAGGACCTTCTTGATCTGACGTGTCTCCTCGTTGCTGCATTGCGGACAGGAGCCTCTCAGAACCAGCGGTGCTAAACCTGGATAAAGTAACGACGCGGAATAACCAACGTGATATTTTCGGCTCGGTTTTATGTAGTGCGTAAAGCTCGTGCGCGAGACTTCTCGGGACTCATGTATAACATTATCGCGCGGCCATGTAATGATACACTCGACGCGTTTATCATCTCCGCGAGTATATTCGGCATCATCCCTCGTAACTCCACGAATCCGACTTTATGATCCAATAGCGTGTGGTGAGGAAATAAAAACAGACAAACGGAGAATTTGCGCGAGCGAGCATTCACTCGAAGAACATCGATTCGAACGACAGTTAACCGTGTCTTCGGGTATCAATTCGCAATGATCCCAAAAACAGTTCCGTCTTTTTAGATCCTCGTTGATTCATTTACCTTATTACGAGTCGCGACTTATAATAAAAATCGATCGACTTTTGACGCGAGTTGGTTGACTCGCCAGGGTAAAGGGCATTGCAATCTCATTTGAAGTCTCGCTCGCGGCATAAATCGCGTGATCGATTCACGGCGATTGCATTCGCCGGAGAACGTACTTTTCAGGCGACGTCCGACCGGGTCGCACGGTGCCTCTCCCAGGGCGCATTTGAGCTGTCTGGTCAAGTAACGCTTGTCGCTCAGGGCCATGTTTAGTTGTTCGTCGGAGACGCGCGATCTGCCGGCTTGTCCCTCACTGGGCTCGGCTGCCATCGCCGTAGCGAACAGGACGCAGGCTGGGACGAGAAACAGGAGCTGCAACACAATTGCACGCGTGTATGTAAATGCACGGACCGTAATAATAGCTGGGCACCGCCGATTATTAGCAAACGCGGACGCGCTGCTGCGGCACCGAATTGCGGTTTTCCCGGCGAGCTCGCGCGCGATGAGAGGATGGCGGTGATGCTGCCTCCTCGGACCTTATTGTCCCGTTGCATTCATTGCCATAAGAGAGAGCGGGTCGGCTGCGCGTATAAAGAAGGGCGTTGGGCTGCAAGGGGATGAGATCTTTTTACGCGAGCTCGGCGAACCACGCGCGCGGAGCGTGCTAAACTTATTAATTACGGAAGCCGCCGCGATACGCCGTCGACGACGCTACTTAACGTGATTATACCATCTGCAAGTATTATAGTAAACGGGTTCCACGTGCGGTCACGGAAACAACGATGGCCACGTTGCTGCATTGAGCATGTGCGCCTCCGCTTGGTTGCGCGCGCGCGTGTAGATAGACACTGCATCAGGTGAAATTAGCTGCGCGGCCATCCGACAATAAGGGCGGAAGCACGTCTGTCATGCGGTAACGAAAGCGGATAAGGAAGGGCTGGCCTGCGGGTGGCCGGGCTAGGCACGCCAAAGCTAACATAGCTAAACAAGCAGCAACCACGCGGTGCTATACTACGACGGCGGTATGCGAGTAGCTCCAATCTCTGTTCGCTAGCTCGCTCCCTTTGCTCCCGCCGTAGAATCCTCCTGGTCCTCCTTTTCTCCCTGTGCGCCCACCGCTTCCGTGACGCGCCGGTGCATCTCGTTGCACCGTTGCACACGTCGTCGTCGTCGTCGTGGCGGCTTAACTAAGGTTGCCACTTTTAAATTACCTTCGTCGCCTCGTCACCCAGTGCGACCCGGCGTCGCGCCGTCGACGTCGCTGCCGCCACGACGTCTCGTACTTTTCGCTTTTTAATAAGCTCTCACGGTTTCCTTTTTTTAATAACCCGCCTCTAATGCGGCAAGTGAATTTTCTCCTCGTCGCACCGACCGTATGACGTGCGTTCGGTGTTCCTTACGTCCGTCTTATCAGTCGGTGCCTTGCGTCTCGAGAAATTAGCGAACATCAAAAGTATCAATGCCTAATAACATCTAACTCTGGACATTCTTACTGTTTTGGTCTTTAAATTAAATAGAGATATTTAAAAAATATCTAAAAATATTTACGCGCGCGCGAAAGTTTAAATATTCGTGTTTTTAAAGACCAAACAATGTCCAGAGTTAGATACCAGTGTTATTAATGTCCAGATATTGGCACTATTGCTTTAACTGCATTTGTTTCTTATGATGATTTGATAATAAATCATTGTTTGATAAATAATTGCTGGATCACTTCATTTCGGTTTATTCCCCGTGGGTCTGATCAATTATCGATGATTGAGACAATTTAAGTAGCTGGTACGCACCTATCGTATAAGCATGATCGCTGAATATTAAGGACCGAGCGCTAATTGCAAAATATTTGAAATATTGTACATCTATCACGTGATGCATAGACCTTAAAAAAAGAAGTTACATCCTCTATCTGTTTCGAGCAGTTTATATCGCAAACGAAATATAGGCGCTCAATGGTACCACCGGCCGGCTGGCTCGTGATAGTTTTCATGCCTCCAAATAGGGATGTAGGTCAATTGGCTCTTTGAATTTGCGCCAATCAAAAAATATAGTCCGTGCATATTGCGCGCGTGTTGCCGTATCGCGTTGCGTAAGTGACGACGATGTTTGATAACAACGACAACGACGACGACGACGACAATGTTAATCAAACGCTTTTAATGGAAACGCGTTGATTATCCGACACGATGGGTTCTCCACGTGGGAGCGTATTTCTAGATTATTACGAGGTCGTAATACACCCGGATCTCTCCAGTCAATCGAAATACCTCCGCGCGGTGTTTATTGGATTCCTTTGACATCCTTTGTGATATCTATTCGTGGCCCGTTCGACGTTCTCGTCCCTCTTTTGCATATCGTCTCGCGACTAAACCCGTCTCGAAACGGAGTCGTTCACACCGCAATCGGGAATGTATATATGATCCCCTCTTCAGTGTTCTTCTCACGCTTATATCGCGTTTTTTTTTTTTTCTTTCTTCTGCGTTTTTTATACGCGCGTGGGATAATTTGGATTTGAATCTCGCCACCCTTTCACTGCTTTCTCCGGCCTGGATTTCGTTGTAACCACGTTCGACTATCTTTCTCGCGTTCACGTGATTCCTACGTCCACACACGTAGCCGACTTTACGGCGATTCTTTATACTCGACTACGTTTTTATAACAACGATAGCCGTTGCAGGATTAATGCGCGCGACGACAAAGTAGCAGAAATTTCTCGTCGCCGGTTCCGACAAAGACATTCCAGTCGAAATATTTAAATAACGACTTATCATAAATTATATTCAGCCTTAACATTCTCTCTCTTTCTTTTCTATTTTACATATACTTCTTTATTTCTTTGCTTTTTTACATATATACTGAAAAAAAGATACTTGAAAATTTATTTTTGTGGGTTATATAAAGTTTATTTATTCGAAATAAATTTTATTTCGCAAAAAATAGAATATGTCATGCACCTAAGTATTCTTTCCTCAGCGTATATGCATGCGAAAATGATTTCAAAGGGATCGATCGTAAAAATTAACCCGAGAATTTGACGTTTTGATGATATAAAAAAAGAAGAGAGAAAAGAGGACAGGCCGGGACGCGCATATTAACGGGAAGAGCCCCGCAATCCAAATGCAGTTTAATCACTGCCGTAATTACGCGCCGCGTCTCAAACCGCTCGCGCGGCCGCTTAGTTCTCCGCCGGTTCGTCTGATTTCCCGACGGAGGCCCGGCACCTCGAATTTCGACTTTTGTGGCGGGCTCCTAATAATCGCGACGGCTCCGTAAATCACGGCGGTCCGCACGTAGACGCGCATACACGCGGCCCGGAGTGATTTGTGGATTCGATGCGGCCGCGAGCCGCGCAAAACCGCTTACTTCCGTGAACCAGTGTGGATTATAAGAATTATTGCCCGCTCTGAATGGCAAATTGGCGGCGATATAGATTTTATCGTCGGTACGTCGCTTCCACGATGGCCGCATCGCGGTGCCGCTCATATAATACGCCGGAATGTTTCGAGTTGCGAGTAACGAGTGTACCGCACATATACACTCACTTTCTCTCTCTCTCTCCCCCCCTTATATATCCGATCGCGCGATCCGCATACGGGCCGTTAATTACGACTCGCATTCAACGCAACCGATAATGCGCCGTAAGCATACGATGTGTCGCGAAACCGCGGTGTTATTATAGTATTAATTACGTTCATTGTCGCCCGTATGCAACAATAATTACGCGTAGTTATCGGTGCGCTAGCGCACGCCGCACTTTCTCTCTCAGACCTTGACTCGGTGATTTACTTGCGTCGCGTCGCGTCGCGTCGTATCGTCACGTCTACGCGCCGCATTTGCGACTATAAAATTAATCGGTAGTTACTGTTCCGGCGACGCTGTCAGTGAATGGTAACCGAAATATATCTCGCGCGGAATACCGTCCTATAAGTTACGTGCGCCCGATATCGGCGTGGCGCGCGTCCGATAAATAATAATTTAGCGACGCGCCGCGCCGCCACCGCCGCCGCCGCCGCCGCCGCCGTCGATTCAGTATTATTTGCGGCCGTATTAATTTACGGTTATCAAACTAATTTACTGTTGCTTAACGGTAATCGAGATATACTAGTGGGATCGTCGAGCTGGCCAGTCGCGTCTTCATATTTTGATATCGTATTACCCGTAAATAACACGGTGAATAATATATCTTGCTACACGAATATCGTATTCACACTCAACTGTCGCGATGAGAGATAGATCGCAGATTATTCATTATCGAGCGGACTGATGCGATTGTCGGGATGCATTTCAATATATTTATACTGTTTCGCGTCTTCACGAAATTGCAAAAAATTCTAGATATTAAATACGATATATAACTATGAAATATATATAATTCGCCAATTATTCTCCGGACGCGTACATTATTCTCCGCGATATCGTCGTATTTATCGGGGCGAACAAAAATGGAAATTATTCTCTTTGGATTTAAACTATTTTTTTTAATGTAAATTATTCTCATAGCATTGTTAATTATTCTCATGCGCCTTCGTTTTCCTTGATGTTCGTTTGACAAACACAACTCTCGCGGATTGCGAGACTGTTCGACGACATTGTTATTCCGCTCGGGTGATGCCTCCACACCTTTTGCATAAATATACGATTGCGATATATATGAATTATAATGTTATCGCATTGTCGATAAGCCGGTGTTTCAATCGCACTGTGTGCGCGATCGCCATTGCGCTACGTGCGGAAATTCGATAATTCGATTTTATTACAGGAAAATTCGCGTCTCGCGTTCGTAAGATTCTACTCTTGGCTCGAAGCCGAACTCTTCGCCAGAACGAGTGCGTCGCGGTATTATGTAATGTTCTTACGTGACGCTACGATCGTATTCCTCGTAATAAAAATAATCTGGCATGAATCGCACCTTGTATTCCGAGATGATGAAATTTTCGCGAATTTCTCGCGTATTAAAGAGTGTTTCACGAACGATTCGTACTGAGAAAAATTCCTCGGTTATCGGAACGAAAGCCCGCGTTTGCTGTTTGATGATTGTTAGGGAAACCGATCGGATACTTACCGTTACAAATCACTTCTCATCGTTTTAACAAGTATACACTGCCCGAGATCACATTTGTTCTCGTCTATTTAACTTAAATTAGTCACGTCTCTATTATAGAAGTAGTACTTAAAGTAACGAATTGAAAGCGACAAATTTCTTGTTCCTACTACGGGATTATTTGCTATTGAGTACTGGTTATTTCGTTGAATTAGCAAAAACTCCTCTTCTCAGATGCTTTTGTAACTTGTCTGCAGTCAGACGAAAATCGAGCACGCAGTTTTAAACTCTCGTTTTGGACTTCACATTTCCAGTTTGTAGGTCACTTCGTTGGCTTTAACACCGGAAATGTCAGATAGATGAGCGCTTTAATTTAATTCCGATATAACGGTCATGCATCCTCTCTGCTATATAGTGGGTTCGATCCGATAAGAATACACAATGACAGACGCGCGTGTGCTTCACCAACCGTAAGATATCTGGAATAGGAGGTTTTTTCGCTGCTCGCGTTTCGCCATTTTCGCGACACGTACACGCGCGACGCGAATGACTAGCTCTGTGGCGTTCTATAAACGAATGCAATTTCGAGGTGTCTCGCTTTCGATTGCGGTGTTTTCTCGCCGCAAGGCGCAATTATTTTGCGTCGCACGAGTGTTCAGTCTGTACAAAGGCACGCAACAATGGAATATTATTGGCGTAATCTAATGGCACATTAATCTGATCCTTCGCGTGCACGCGCAGAACAATGTTTATGATTCCAAACTTGGCAATGCAGTGTGTAAATTACATCTTTATTGGCTTCCAATATTTGCTTTGTAGGTACCTCGGGAGCGTCCGTGTATATTTGTGCGAATGTGTGTGTGTGTGAGTAGTTGGAAAAACGTAAGTTTGAAAAATTAATAATTGTCGTGCGCGCAATAAAATAAATTGCGATTAAAATCACAAGAGCGAGGTACGCCGTGACAAGTAGGTTTTTCTTCGCTCTCTTCACCGGATCGCTTCCCGCCAAGTTAAACAGCATATTTAACCACGTTCTACAACATAATTCCCAGCTTATCTCTCCGTCGCTTTATCGAACACGCGCGAAAGCTTCGCTCTGAGGAAAGCCGCGATTTCCAGCGCACTCCGCGGCAACTGTGCGGCGAACGCACAATTATGCAAAGTGACGTGTGTTCTGACGCGAATTTATTCGCTCGCGTCCCTCGTGCGAAGCACGTCGCAATAAAAATAAATCGCACGGAAGCGACAGCCAGAGGAGTCTCGGCTTCCCACTTGTCTCGTTCAAATACGTTCTGGTCCCATGGACGGTGCGACACCGAGGGTTACCGTTGGGGAAGAAGGGTCACAGGTGACTCGCGCTGCGCGCGTCTCTGCTCTAAACGCTCCGATGAACGATCCTCCCGGAGCGGATCGCAGCGGGGATTTCGCCGGCATACCGAAACAACCACGGCCCTAAACGTGAACTTGGTCTCTCATCCTCATTCTCCCTCTCTCTCTCTCTCTTTCGCGCGCGCGCTGACCTCCCTTGGGAGTACTCTCCCTCTCCCGAAACTTTAAATCACCAACCGCGTGTATATGTATATACAGACATACACATATATACAAGGGATGCGTAGCGCGCGGGAGTGCATCAACCTGTTGCGCACGTTCGTCACTCACCTTGATTGCCAGAGCCATGCCGAAAGCCTGGGTTACTCGGGTCGCCGTTCAAGATCGCGTCGTTTGATCTCGGGAGTCCGCGAGGGCAGATTGGCAGACGGAGAGAAAGTGTATCGATCGAGGCTTTCGCGGAAGGACGACGCGCGGTGCAAACTGCAACGGTAACAGCAGCAGTAACGATCTGAGGTCTCGAAAATGCTTCTGCCAATCGACTCCGATCCTCTCACCGTGAATACGCGCGACGCACTGGGCCCCAACTGAAAGATGTATATACCCGTGGCCTTTCCTTTCCTTCTCTCACGATAGGTATTTAAAGTGCACGCGGCGTGTACGACACGGCGTGATATATAGCGGCGCCTTCGCGAGAGGCACCTGTTCCTCCGGATGTCGATGGTGGCGCTCGGAGGAAGGGGAAAGTTGTGTGACGTACGTGAGCGAACGGTGCCACGTTTTTTCTTTCCTCCATTCTCCGGGCACTCACAACCGGATGCTGCTGTAGTTATTTTATGAAACTTTCGTTGGGGGCTACTGCTGTTTCTCTCTGTAGTGGAGGAACGTGAGAGAAAGAGAAAAAGAGGGAGAGAAAGAGAAAGAAAAAGAAAAAGAGAGAGAAAAGAGAAAGAAACGGAATTATTACGCGTTCGCGAGCTAAGCGGCTAAGTTAAACAGCGACATTCTTGTTCTGGGATTAAACTCTCTAAGGATGATTAGATTAAGGGGCTAACCAAGCAACTTTTGTTGCTGTTGTCGAAGGGTAAGAGTATCGATGTAGGAAGTAACTTTGGACGCATACATCGGAATTGCTTCGTCGTCCCTATTCCCGTTTAATTCGTAATTATGATGAAAGGAATCGATAATGAAGAACACGTGTATTTTGTGTCTGCGGCATTTACTTGCAGCGCTTTTTTAAAATTGGAAGATAACATATATCATATAGAAATACAAAGGATGAAATATATCATATAAAACTACAGAGAGAACTGTCTCAAAGAGATTAGAAAGGAAAGAAAAAAAAACGCAGCTTGCCAAAGGACGTTCATTCCAAGCGTGAAATGAAGTAAGTTTGAACACAAAGTCACAACGCTGTAATTAGAAAAGTACAATTTCCAGCCGAACGGACGGTTTTCAACAATACCGCTTTGTGCCTCGAGAAGCTCTCCTCTCTCCGACCGCCGCGATTGTCGCTGACAGATTTGCCTCCGGCGTATCCGACGTACGAACGTCATTTTATCGGATTGTACGTTTGCGACTTCTCGTTCTCGGTTAGAGTGTCGTGGTACATACGCGCGTGCGCGCGAAGCTTCGTTCCGCAAGTCGGTTTCTCGCGGAACTCCGAGGAACTCCGGGCGGATTTCACGTCATCGAGGTGTAAGCGGCGCGGTCGATTTCACTCATTGCACAAAACGCACCGTGGACAAAAAGGCTCTCTCAGTGGACAAATTAGTCTAGACGGTATAATTTTTAACTGATTTTAATCCCATTTTTTTTTAATTTACTTGTTATGAATTGCTCTATAACTTTGTCGAGTCACTTTTTAAAATTAGAGCTTTAATTCAATATGGCGGACACAAAATTGTCTTGGGAACATAGAAACTATAAGATATTGAATATACTTGTACCAGACAAAATAGGTTTTAAGGATTCTTAATTACATATATGAGATTAAAATTTTAATTTCTTGCCACTTAAAAGAACCTAAACGACCCGAAATGTTTTACGGGTCGTTTCTGATATCTTCATACTAACAGTGCATTCAGATTACGTCTTTGTTCACACATTTGTACATATTGCTCGTTAAAATATGTAAATTTCAAAATTTAGCTTGAAATTTACATATTTTAACAAGCAACATGTACTAACATTCTTCCTTATCCTTAAAACCCGTATATATTTTATCTGGTGCAAGCATATTCAATATTTTATGATTTCTATGTTTCCAAGACCATTTTAAGTCCGCCATTTTGAATTAAAACTCTAATTTTAAAAAGTGACTCGACAAAGTTATAGAGCAATTTATAAGGAGTAAATTAAAAGAAAGGGGTTAAAATCGGTTAAGAATTATATCGTCCAGACTAATTTGTCCACCGAGAGAGCCTTTTTGCCCACTGTGCGTCGTCACCGACGGTCACGTCCTCGTTCCTTGCCTTCTCGATGCAAGCTGATTTCGTACGTTATGTCATGCACATGTACACCTACATATACAGGGTGTTCCGAACCTCCATAATGACCCTTGGTGAGAACGTAGAACGGATTGAAGTGAGCAAGAAATTCTTGTGCCGTTTTGCGATATTTGCAATAATAGTCGAGATATTAATTAAAAAGATTGGTGAATGATCATAATATGGTAGATGAGTTGCAGTGGCGCCGTCTGCCGTTATATACTTATACATTAAATCAAACTGAACAAAAAAGTTCTTTACCATTTTGTAAATTACCATATAGATTTTTAGATATTAATTAAAGAAAATTTATGCATTACGGTATACAATCATATATGTAATAGTTTTCTTTAATATTTAAAAATCTATGTGGTCATTTGCAAAATGGTAGAGGACTTTTTTATTCAGTTTGACTTAATATATAAGTATACAACGGTAGATAGCCTCACTGCAGCCCATCTACTATATCGCGCGTGATCATTCACCAATCTTTTTTAATTAATATCTCGACTATTATTGCGAATATTGCAAAACGGCACAGGACTTTCTTGCTCACCTCAATCCATTCTACGTTCTCACCAAGGGTCATCATGGAGGTTCGGGACACCCTGTATACACACGCGGAAGTGTGACAGCCGCGGTGATGTCGCGCTTCAAGTACGAATCCATCGATCTCTTGCTCGGTGTGTCTCAGAATGAAGCGGGTCGATTGTTCACGGGTGCGTTAAATATTGCACACATGATGTGCACACCGGCGGTACCGGCGGTGGTGTAACGCTATCGAGCAGTACCTCTAGCTCGTTCGCGAGACATGTAGGTTGAACAGAAATATCGTGGATCCGTATTAATTATCGATTCACCGTCGACGACGTTGGCTTCATCTCGGCGCAGATGAATGGTTAATTGAGAGAGAGGGATCCACGAAGTCGTAGAACTGACTCGCCAAATCGCGATGTCACAACGATATCGGTGTCGTCGCTCGACTTTCCTTTCTCTTCCTTCTTCCTCTTCCTGTCTCTTGAGAGCCGAGATACATTATGTAATTTCCACGTCTTGAAACTTTTGTGTTTTTAGAAGCGCTCCCCTTTCTCCCTCCGAGCGGTGTGTGTTTGCGTGTGCTCCAGCTGCTCGACAATACCGCATAATGATAACACGCGGACTCGGCGCTGCTGAATATTCCCATATTCCACCAACAAAATTAATCATCGCACTGCGAGGTAAAAAATATATTCGCCGGCCGTGCAAAAATACGCGTTTATCTCGCCGTCGTATGTTTCGCCGGGGCGGCTCGCCGTCTTTTTTCCGCCCTTTAATGTGGCATTTGCATCGTGAATTCCGCCGCCACTACCTACTAACGGATGCATCGGGACGCAAAGTTGCATCGTTATAAAACGTCGAGCGATCCCGATAAAATTACCGACCTGTCTCTCTTTCTCTCTCTCTCTCTCTCTCTCTCTCTCTCTCTCTCTTTGTTTGTCGCTCTCTCGCTCTCCCTTTTTCTCTCTCGGACGAGTAACGAGTTAACGAGCGTATTTTTCGACGAGCGTGCGACGTCTCGGCTTACCGGGGGCACACGTCGCTCTTCCACTGAGTCTTTTTTTTCTTTCGCGTTTCACCGCGACTTTCCGACCTGGAAGCCAGAAAGAGCTCCCGATAAAATCGACGGGTTTAATGGGCGACCGGTGTGCGGTACGACTCTCTTCGCTCGCGTTCGCGTCCTTATATTCGACGCGTGTGTGCTCTCTTCCATGATGATAACGGGCTTCGAAAGCTGGTAGTGAATAAAAAAGGTAGAAGAAGTAGGAATCGGCCACAGGAGATGTGAGTTCCGCCGTGAAAAATACGGTTAAACTGGCGGGAAGGTGGACGCGGAGGTAGCTCAAGCTCGACGCCGGCGGGATGGATGGACCGACGACGACGGCGAAAAATCGTTCCTTGTACCGATGAAGATCACATCAGTCGAAATTTGTCCGCGCGCTCGCCCGTAGAATTGTAGGAAGGAGTTTCCGCGAGACGATAATGCCAGTAGTACATGAAAGCACAAAACCGCAGATACACATACAACATGGTTAACGATTACGCCGGAGGCGCAATCCCCGAATAGTCAAATCGCTGATTATCGCCCGTAATAATTATTAGGAATTACAATTGGCAAACGATAGAAATAATAGAGGCTGAATTAATCATGCGCCACGACTAAACCGTCGATCGTTAATCATGAAATTGTTTGCGCCGTCGACCGATTCGGTCGATTAATAAAGCGCGCGTTAAATCGACGTAGCTCTTACGGTACGCGCGAATTTGCCGGTTCGGCGCGTGTTTGCACGAGGTGATTCGCATCCGTACGAATGCGAGAATACAGCAGGACGAGGAAGAGGATTTCGTTCAGCACGTGTTGCGACGGAATCGGACGGGATCGCGTCAATTTGTTTGCTGCTGGAATCTTCTATGAAGATTTAATTTTTCATGGGGGTAAAACGAGAGAAGTGTATATTTTTGTTCGGAGATTTTCGCGCGGCGCGACGGCATCCAAAAGAGGGCGGATTCCAGCAGCCCCCTGTCGACGTGTCGAGCGATCACCTTCCCACCTCTCGTTCCGCGCTTCGATTTTTTCCGCGCTGCCTCTCCGTCATCGGCTCTGCCCACCTTTTTCCTTTTTCGTCACCCGACTAGGTTGTCGGGAGCTGTTTGAATGGGCGATCGTTTCGAGGCGATCCGATTGTTCCAACGGAACGAGTTTACCCCCGAAAAAAAAGCGGGAGAGAGACGGATAGAAAGAGGGGGAGAGTGAACGAGTTGGAGAATGAGAGGCCCTCGTCCTCTCTTTCTCTAACTCACCCTCTCTAATTCACCCTCTATCTCACCCCCACCTGGTGAGATCGATGGCTTATTGTGCTGTTAGTCACGTCGTGTGACTCTTCGGAGGGGCGACGAGGTACGGGAGAGGCGTGAGAGCGTAGGAGGACGCTAGGGGGGATGAGCAAGAGAGGGAGGAGAAAGGGGGTGGCTCGATTCACCTCTCGCGTCGAGTTTATTTAACATTTGGAGCCGCTTAACGGCGCAATTGGTCTTGTATCCCTTTGGCGGCAAGTCTCATGAATATTGAAACGCCACCAGGACTCTGAGCGCGAATTACGGCTCTCATTATTAT